GGAGAGTCCAAAAATCTGCTTTTTCTCTAGTTTTTCATTTTGTCCTTGTAGTTTAAGGTCCTTTACTCACATTTAGTTAGTCAAAAAGAGATTTAAGGACAATTATAAGAGCAAAAAGTAGCAAAAAGATAAGTTAAACATCACAAAAGTAGCTAAAAAATACATCAAACCACAGAAATTGGGTTAAAAATAAAGATAAATCTGATCCAATTTAGGTCAAAATGAAGATGAGCGTTAAATAATGACAGAAAATAAGTTAAAGGTGGAAAAACACTGTTCTGGATAACTGGGTTGGTAATAATGAAACATTAAATATGCTTTCTTCTTTTAAACAGAGCACATTTTCTGCTTTTTCTCTCATTTTTAATTCTGTTCTTGTAGCTTAAGGTCCTTTAATTAGTCAAAAAGAGATTTAAGGACAATTATGAGCAGAAAAAGAGGCTAAAAAACAAGTTAAACCTTACAAATTGGGTTATAATAAAGATAAATTAGACCCGATTTAGGGAAAAAAGAAGAGGAGAGTTAAATAAAATATGTTAAAGGTGTAAAAACACTGTTCTGGATAACTGGGTCTGTAATAATGAAACATTAAATATGCTTTATCTTTCAAAAAGAGCACATTTTCTTCATTTTCTCTCATTTTTAATTCTGTCCTTGTAGATTAGGGTCTTTTTCTCACATTTAATTAGTCAAAAAGAGATTTAAGCGACAATTATGAGAAGAAAAAGTAGCAAAAAAATAAGTTAAACATCACAAATTCGGTTAATAATAAAGATAAATCAGGTCCAATTTAGGTCAAAATGAAGATGAGAGTTAAATAACGACAGAAAATAACTGTTCTGGATAACTAGGTCTGTAATAATGAAACATTAAACGTGCTTTATCTTTCAAAAAGAGTAAATATTCTGCCTTTTCTCTCATTTTTATTCTGTTCTTGTTCCCTTTCTGGACCGTCTGGGGAGACTGGACCAGTGGAGGACAGCAGAAGAAGAGCTGGGCCTTAAAAAGGGACTCGCTTTTCCCTCCGACTCCACAGCTC